AAAGGCCGGGATAATTTGAAAAATATTGGTTTACGAAATGAAGTCGTTTGGAAGAAATGTCAATCTTACGAATGTAGTGATCTCGCTGTGACGACTCCTGAACACTGTTCTTTTATGGTTGCTCCGAGATGATACGATATAAATCCTTGCTACTGCTGCCGTGGGTAGCCAGGGATATGACTGGTGTAAACGGACTCCTGAAAGTGAACAGTGAAGTTTACGATATAGGAGTGACGAATTCTGAAATCTGATATCTCAAGGTGGGTGTATTAAAGGTAGCGGTAAATCAGTAGAACGCCAACCAGCGTAGTAAATAAACATCGAGGAATTGCTGCAATTACAGCCCATTGCCGCGCTATGCTATGCTATATGCCTATTTCATGGGAATGGTTCAGTAAGTTCTAATTAGAAACAGAGGAAACGCACATTTACCTGTCATAAGGGCTGTATGTCATCAGGTGTTGTGATCATCTGTAACACTAAAGACCGGAAAATGTATGTGCAATTACGTCTCACGACTGCGGAAAAGTCATAAAACTAATGGATTGCTCTTGAAAAATATTAGAAATTATTGCATATTCTCTTATCGTGAAATGTAAGCAATGAATTCTTGTGTGTTTAGTAGCTGAACACGATTATGTGGCAAACTGCCGCCTTGTGTGTATCATGAGGTGGATACATTGTCTAAATGGCACCACTGGTGTAACGGAACCTACTTATGTTGTGCAGGGGACGGGGTAAAATTTATTGAAATCTACCTGTATGTCTAATAGATGGAAATATACATGTATAATATTTATCTAATATGATAGCTAATTGCAAATGAAGAAATATTTCTAACTTTCTAAATCCCTTCAGTATATACCAACAACCGAAGAAATACTATTTCATATTCACCCTTTCCCTGTAACAATAGTATGACCATACAATTTTGTCATACAACTCATTGATTTCATGCCCTTGCCCTATCCCATGACCTTGCTATATCTAATGTATACGCCACTCATAACCTGTTATGTTTTGCATACTCCATGCGTATAACGAACGACCCATTTCAACTGTAGATTGCGGCTCCTACACTTAATGGGTTACTATAGGTCACAGAAACTACCACAACATGAATATTGTCACATATCATTTAACTCCGTGAATGACCGTGGCCACATAGAGACAGGGTTTTGTTTCAGACTCATTCAGCTTGGGTCAGTTAGCTCCATCACGATAACATTATCTCCCGACCATTGGATGACGTAGTCAGGTATCTAACATCGGCCTGCAGCAAAAGACTCAACATCATTAAAACCAGCTTAGTGTAATAAATCACTTTGTCTGACAAACATTCCATTAATACATAAATCGTTATATGCCCGGCATTCTTTTCTACAAAACGAATTACGTTATGCCATTCGATTCCTTTTTTTCAATATCGCATGTATTGAGTGGAGCTAATGAGTCGTATTGATGTCTTAAATGTCAGACGGAGCTCGTTTTAGTTTGAAATCTATTACGTCATGCATCGTAACGTGTGCACAATGACGCGGCACAAACACGGCTGTCGTCCCGATATCACAGCCCTCTGTTCCGGCCACTGTCTCTGAACCGGTCGAGCAGATCTTCAACCTGCTGGCCGTGGGTATGGTAATATTCTACTTTGATATGGAAAACGACGTCGACTATAGCCAAGATCTTTTTGTTTAGCTAGTTGATGTGCTCAGCAGCCTTTATGTATTGCTTATGCTGTATGGCCTTTATGGTACCGGGAGTACGTTTTGCCATAAGATCATGAGTCCATAAGAAATCTATGACATTACAATTATCAATTTCTGAGAATAACCTCCCTTTATACACTTTGTTTTAGTAATAGGAGCAACTGTAAAGAAGGAAAAGAAACGCCTACTCCTAGTTTGGTTTGGTGGAAGAAGATTGATGAGACTCTGTACTTGTGGCTGAACCTGTGGACGAGCGGCCGGCGGAGCTGTGTGAGTTTTGATAACGGGTTATCAGGGGCTCGATCTCCCAGTAGGATACAGGCCGCGGAAGTGTAGATTTCCGAGTCCGTCGAGGCCAAGTAAATATCGTTCTCATAAAAACACCTACTGCTTTTCCCTCCCGGAGACACCGGAGACCGTAAAAGTCAAGTCCTACCGGGTGCTGATCGATCATGCAGGCGGTATCCTAGATGAGGCTGGGATAGGGGCACTGGTTATCTGGTACCCGAACACCAATCCCGCCCACATGTACCTCCAGCATGTGATTTGTGCTTTGATTAACAATAGCGTAGATGGTAGGTAGGCGAATTGCTGATCTAAACTCAACAAATGCAAACAGATAATATAAGAGGACAGGCTCTATCTGCGTTTCACGTTTTTCCGTGAACGTATTAAAACTGCAGGTAAATACAGACTGTTGGCCACATGTAAAGAGAGTCACAAGAGAACATGACGTGCCCCTAATTTGCCCGATACTAGACCACCACCATCTTGCCCACTCCTTATCACACTCCATGAAATGGTGTGTCTTGTTGCTGATAGATAACGTTACGGACTGAATCCTGGCGGCCAACATGGTTCTCCTGATCCCATGCCTGAGGTGGGGGACAATGTAGTTCCGTTATATGAAGTCATATTTCAGAAATAATTTTCTTGTAAGCACCATGCCCACCGCCACCTGGACCTACCTCCTGGTCATATAGAACCATTGGTATGTGTATTCAATGAACCATTTGCTGTTGCCTGGATTGATTCACCGGACGAACGCACCCTTATGCAACTGAAGGTTATTTGAAAATGGTCTCAATACAAACGCGCAGCGCAGCTGGTAAACGTTGTGGCTTTCCCTGTCTGCCGATCTGGTCTGGGTGACTTAAACAACAATCTGTTATGAGGGAAGCTGGTAACCTGTGCAACATCGTTAAGTACTCATACTCTCTTTGTCATTTTACCGTTTCAACCCATACAACATTGAAGTGTAAAGTGTTTTAAAAACTTACATTTTTTAGGTACACGACTCAACGAGGACCTCTTAAGTAAGTCAGGCTAATGGATAACTTGTACTGCTACAACTATCGCTTCGTGCATGTTTGGCATTCCCCAGGGAGGAATTTATGTTTTGACGAATAACTGTTACAGAGTGGTGCCGTGACATGACCCCAGAGGTCATAGCGCTCGTCTTATATCTACGTCAATCCTCGACCATCTCAACTCAGGTGCTGCAGCACTAAAGCCGCAATATCGATTTCAATGAACTCTCTTACGTGGACGTATGACTTGAAAATCTTCGAAAGCTCGCTAGCATGAACATTACCGTATTGTGTGGATCAAGGGCAGAGTCTTGCTGTGTGCGCCACAGACGGAGAGTCTACAGGAGTGATTACGGTAAATCAGAAAGTGCTTAAAGGTGCCGCGTCTGGTACTGAAGGACCTTGTGAACACTCACTGGAAGGACATCAGGAAAATCATAAGTAGAATTCTAAATGACAGGCCCATGTCCAAGTGTTTCTGTTCAGCCATTGCCTTCCCGTAGAAGCACCGTGTATCCAATCCGCCTTTGGCATTATCATTTCTTACGCCACGAGTATACTACAGATCTGTTCACCATATGGCATTAGTTAAACGTTACATTGAGATACATTTCCTGATATACAAACTATACTACTGTTATATGTTCCCCAAGTGTAATATAAAACAAAACATGTATGATGGCTCTCAATCACTCCGTGTCCTACAAAATGCAACATACTCAAATAAAATGTGTTTAAGGCCAGTAAGGGGATGCCAGGTTGCATTGGTATACTTTACCAAGTTTACTAACGTTTATATGAGTACGAAAAGCTATAATGCAAGCAAAGTTAAGAATGTGGGTATCACTCGGCTAGTCCAGTTCTGCTTCAATCTCCATCAATGAATCCAAAATAAATCTTTAAGAAAATTAGAACAATCCTAAAGTGCTCAATCACAATTTGGCGTCTTGTGAATTGATTGATGTTACAACTACGTAGGAGTAAGGTTAATGCGAAAGATGATGAAATAGGGTAAAAACCTCAAGGCGCTCATTTCCCAGCAAATGAAGGCTGCTCTTCTGTCACCCCATCTGTTCAGAACGTGTTGCCCTAAATACATCAGCGTGAAGAAATTAGGAAAAATAGTTTCAACATGCCGATTTCACCAGTGATGCGGAGCACGGCTCACACCTTAGATGCCCTCCTGTAATGCTGTACTACTTCTCGTAAACTCAGGGTGCAGAGTTTGTATCACATTCCTAAACTCGGTCTGCGAGCACCCAAGTGGCCTGGAGTGCAATAGATTTATTAACCTGGTTGCCTCCCTATACAATCCTTTTACATAAGCCTCAGGCTATTAATTAATCCATCCACCCATCATATGCACACACATTATGGTGCTATTTTTTTGTTTGCTAAGTAAAATAAGATCAAAGGCGTGCATTTACAACTTTTTCTCCTCCATAGGGAGGGGAACATATCAATATGTTCTCCACATTGTGTATGGACGCAATAATTAGTCTCGGTGGCCAGGGGTCGAAGATGTTGGGAAGCGTGCCTAACACGTGCATAATTAGTTCGGTGGGCGACGACAGAGGACTTTCAGCTAATGACAGATTCTAATGATCCGTCTCATCGGACAGTCTGTGGCTTGAATACATTATCATCTGGGGGAGATGGAAATCCAATGATAGGTCATCTGCATTAAAGACTGCGCATATACAGGCTACAGCTTCAGGAGGAGCGATGTGTGGCTGTTATCGCTAGGAGACCAGGCTGGTTTATTGACGCGTTGACGCCATACAAGACTTTCATGGGCACGCAGTTGATTACAATTAACGCATACACGAATATAAGCATATATCCTTGTCAGTTAAATATTGACGTCTTTAATCTTATGGAGCTCTCGCTTGTATGATACGCGCGTGCACGTACAAGTGTACTGCTCCTACACTCACTAAGACTTGGTAGATACCTGACAGATGCATTTGTGACGCGGTACCTGGAGGTTGGTGTATGGTGTTGTTGGCTCCTGGGAAGGCAGCCCGGTCAGTCCGGCCCCTGATCTTCCCCATCAGGCCCTCTGCCCGATCCCCAGCCGTCTTCTGCCTCGTGTGACTCACGTTTCCGAAGACGGGTGGTAGATCTACACCTGCACGGGGAGCAGGGAACATCATTAGTCAAGAGAGGATTTGTTAAAAAGATCAAATCTGTATCATTGCACACAAATCTAAACATTGATTGGGGGCAAGATAAATCTGCTGCTTAATAGTGAGGTATTTCTAAGCTACTATGCCTTACAGGCTGATTATGCACCAAGGTATGAAATCATTTTTCTTCCACGCCACCCCGTCTGCACCCGTGCTAACAATGTCGGCAGAAGCATAATCGTTTTATTATTGCTTTAAAATGATCCCATATAGATGCTTCGATAGAAAATGACGACTCGCGTGCCCCGATTTGAAAAGTCATCGAAGCTTGAAATTGGTTAAGACATGTGTCTTGATAAGATCAACATATGGAAGATTGGTAAGATAAGCTGATTCAGCAGCCAAAGTAATGCGAAGAATACTGATGTACAGTCGACAAGAAAACAGCATGAGGTCATTTCTCCATACAAATATGAATCATTCATGCAGCAGTCCATCTCAAACTACCCAGCTATGGACACGAGCCTAGCCCAAAGGCAACCAGAACACCAAAGTGTCATCTTGACACAAGCCCGTTCTCAAGGCTGTCAGACCATAGCATTGTCCTGTCCACAAAGCCTCTCCTCTGGGTTCTCCTCTCCAATCCAAGGTTACCCCCCCCCCCAACGAAGCACCAGCTCGTCTTATCTACTGAGGCCCTTTTGTGAGTTTGAAAGAACACTTGGTTTTCGTCTACTGTTTGGCAGAACACCATATCTGACCATTGAGATATAGTCTTAGTATACTAAAATATCAAACCGTCCTCTTCGTCAAGGCCCAGTCCCCAGGCTAACAAAGCAGAGCTTCTCTCCAGACAGGTCAGGCAGCAGGTTAATAAAACGCCAGCCCCCCTCTCCAGGCAGACTAAGCCCAAGTCCCCAGGCCCATCAACATCAGACCAAGGCCCATAGAACTTCAGGTCGCCAGAGCAACAGGAGATGCTGAGGATAAGTACGGTTTTCCATCACCGGAGTACCAAAAGCAGACTCCATTGACACTGCCAGGAATGTCAACAGTGACAATTTGTCAGACGAACTACTTACATACTGCCAAAAGTGGTGATGTAGAATCTTAACCCGAATTCTTCCCACGTACAGCCATGGTGACAAACTTTAACAATTGGTGACAGGAAGGTATGCAGACTGATCACAAATGGATGAGTGCGAACCTACTCTCTGGCAATGCCGCAACTCAAGCCGCCTCAGCCAGTTACACTCGCAAGAATGACTTCAACTTGTGATGCATGTTGTGAATGTAAAAACTGTATCACGTACGTATTGGTGTAAAAAATAGTCTGCATACTCTGTCTACAACACTTTTTACGGCAACCAGTTACACGAGCTAGATCTACATGATTGCCTTGAGGTTTTAAGGAACCACTGTTCTCGGACCAGATAACCTTGACTGTTAGAGAAAGCAATCGTGTACAGGTTAAGTACATACGGTACGGAAATTGTATAGAGCTAGTGGGCATGCTTTATTGGAGATTTGGGAGATGTAACATTCTTTTGCTGAAAATCCCTCCCTGTAAAGAGCTGCGGGGGCCACCATTATCGTAGCACCAACAGGCAAATAGCGGCGGTTGTTGTGTATGAATCTTTACAACTTTAGGGAAGGGCGCTTTCAGCTGGAATGTTACTCCGTTGAGGAAATTTCCAATAGGTGATCTTTCGAAAACCAACGACGTTTTTTAAGCCTGGCTTTCCCTAGAGAGGATTGTGAATTAAAGATATGTAACGTTGTATATTCTGCCAGTCATATATGAAAAACAGAGTCGTATGATATCCAGATATCCACTAAGACTTCAAAATTGCCTCATTTTCAAGACAAGTCCTTGGCGGGAAACACGAATGCCTGATATTTAGACGCAAACCTATTCTTTACTGCATAAATTAGCATAGTTGTGTGGGCAATTACGGCGTGTGTGTGATCTACTGTGATGGGTAAGGCACCTGGGGAGATGCCGTGGGGAACATTGGACGTCTACAGAAGCGGCAATTTGCCTACAGACCAGCTTTCTACAAGCCCATAGGTACTTCTGCATGACGCGGTGATCCATTATCTTTACCAGCACTTTTCAAACGCCAGCTTATTTTTTTTATTAGCCTCGGCACCGAAGCTGGTACACCCATCGCATTAGTGCAAAAGGCTGACAACATTCAAGAGTCTTTTCGGCACCAGTGACATGCATTTGATGATTTCACAGGCTGGCGAAGACCAGCAATTTTAGGAGGTTTAAAATCTTATGAAGAGAAGTAATCACGCATGCTACCGCATTTCATATTAAAAGTACCGCTAAAATCAGACAGAAGTGTTCGTCAGGTTGAAGCTATGGTTAATTGTCTTTCCAAAACGATTGGAGTAGTAAAAGTAATTAGGTTGAATAAGTTCCTTAATCACCGCTAAACCCAGGCATGGTATAGAAAAGGAAAGAGATGGCATGACATCTGTCATGTAAGGGTGCATCATCCTGTCTTGGTATGAAAAGCCCAACGGGCACGTCTTCCCACCAGTGGTTCAGAATATGCCCATCGAAAATGGAGTAAGAGTCCATTTCCACAAATCACCTCCAATTTTGAATGGGGCGGTACGATCGCCAGTCTTATTTTCAAAATCATTAGGTCCAGGGTTAATGTCATCAGCCCCTGGGGCAAATTTCGTAGATCTCAACAAATCAGGATTCGGTTCTTTAACTTTATTCTCAAAACGTCCATTCCAACAAATCACCTACCATTTGTGATGGGGCAGCAAAATTGCTTATTTCATTCCCAAAGTCATCAGGTCTGAGGTCAGGTCCTCAACAACGTCTATTTCAAAATTTTCTGATACCCCGATAGATTAGGATATGGCCCCTCAACTTGCAAAATGTCCAATTCAACAAATCAACGACCCTTCGAAATGAGGCAGCAAAATTGCTTATGTCAGTCCTAAAGTTATGAGGTCCAAGGTCAATATCCTTATCCTCCAGTTGGAGTTTTTGGAATTCCTAGCGGATTTGGAACGGCTCGTCAAGTCTGAAAATGTTCGCACGCATCATAACCTAGCTACCGCTGGTCAGACCAGGCTTACCGATCCTATTCAGAGAGAACGTGGGGACAATGGCTAGAATATCGACGTGGATAAGATGTGCGCGTTCCACACGCGGAATAAATGTGAACTCAATAGCATACATGACGTCAAGTCAGATAAAGGACATCAGGCTATAATCGCATTAACGTTAAGTGCCACACATGTCTATACAGGTCACTGAACACGATGTATATGCTGAAGAATTCCTGTCCTGAAATGTATTCGTCAAAGATATGGAGATGCTGTGACATGCCTGCAACTACATGACCGTTGCTGCATTATATTTCATACGACACCCAAGGCGTCATTATACATTGCTGGCGTCTTGACAGAACAAATTCTCCTAGCGCGTACGCCAGTGAACGTACAAACATATTCTAGAACCACGTTTCTTAGTGATTTCTATCCGGTTATCGCTAACTTATTATCGCTAACTAGCAGCCTATCGGGCGGTACAGCTGATAAGCAGCACAACTGGGTGTAATGGGCATGTCTATGTGGTCCTTTATCTATTCATAGGCGTCCTCCCATCTTGATAAGACGATGGGTGACTTTACTTTCCTTCCTGGCAAACCATAACGTTATATGATTGGATCGAAACCAAGAGTTCCCATCACAACCCAAAGAGTCGCATCGCTGCTTTTGTCGAAGTTCTTGGCACAAGACATCGTATTCCCTCAACTTTCTTGTACTCGTACCAAAACAATTTCCTCATGCGAATCTCATTTAGATCGAATACATCGTGGTGTACACCGTATCGCCTGACGGCCGGTGGGGCTGGTTCTCGGACGATATGGAACACAGAGTGATGTATTTATTCCCCTTGAGTACAGATGGGCATTTGGACGAATGGTGAGAAAGCCATGGCTTATTGGATAAACGCCGTTGGCTACTCGATAATCACGTCTGGGATGGTGCATGGGATGTAAATATGTATGTACAGTTTTCACCGCAATCAGAGCTGGGTTATGAGAAGGTTCTACCGGACGAAAGCCCTTCCACAAGGACATGTTACGACCGGTGTGCGAAAACGCATGGCGAACTTTCCAGCCACTTAAAGGATTTAGGCCCACACATTCCTAAACCCTGCCTGCAATATTGAAGCTACGTTTCTGATTATGGAAGATTTCACAGACGTCTGACTTGAATGAAATATAAATAATAAGGAAATATATTGGGGAACATGCATACCATTAACTGCATCCGAGTCATGATGGAATACAATATTATACGACGACATCGAATGATGAAATAGGAAGTACCACAAGCATTTAAACTATATATTCGCTACATACAATGGCTGATAAATCATAGTTCAGTGTTTGTATAGCGGAGGTGGCTGTTTACTACTGGCAGCTAATGGTGCATCCTCAAAATACGCGATGAGGAAACAGCAGAAATCTTAACCTTGTAAAGCATTCTCCCTCCCTCCTTCCCCCTCCTCTTACTTACACAAAGATATAAATTAGTTACATCTTAGGTAATTTGCATTTATCTGCCATATTGTCCAATTAACTCATATACATTTACAAGAGGCATTTTGTAATTAGGATGGTTATTAGATTCTTGCTCGTGTCACATGAGTCTTTTTGTCAGGGACTTACCCCCTGTCACTCCCAGATCAGGACGATATTGTTAATATTCAGCCTTATCATAAACCATATCCGGACCAATGACCAGGTCACGTACATGTGCATTCGTCATGTTGTAACTTCTTTACATTGTTTCGACGAGAGATTTTTTTTTCAATTTGAGACGACCCCGAATCTTCATGGCTATGCTTTCCATCAATCATGTGGTTCTCCATAAGGAGGGCTTGTGTTGGTTTTGCGGCTCAGTGCACGACGTGATTAATTTTGCCCGTTTTTGTGTGGGGGGAGGACGGAGTGGATGCCGTCGTCATCCACCCTGATGTAAAACCCATTCCAGAAATGTATATCAGAACAGATACCGCTCCGGACGACAGTGCCAAGTGTTGAATGACGATGGAGACAGTAATCGGCGTTTCGTTCCGGTATTCCGCCTCCTCGGCCTGCGGTTCGATCTGCCGATGGAACACACTTCGTGAATATTTGATAGATTAATCAGGACGGACAATCTGTGTCCGAGTTTTACCTGATCTGTCAGGCGGTCCCTTTGCTCCCGGCCATGTATTATACAGCGCCTTCGATGAAATCATATGAACTGCTATAATTGTGCCACAACCTCGCGTCTTAATGTTTCATCGGCCAATTTGGCGTTGGTCGATATCCCAAACGAAATCTCCTAATACCACTCTCGGTAGGGAAATAGAAGAACCCTGTACCCCTGCATGTATTTTTAGATACCATCGCTTAAAACCCCCCACAACGCCACAGGTATCTACCCGAAACAACAACTGCAGGGTAGACAGAACCCTGAACCATTTATCCACTACAGCACCTTCAACACCCCCCACAACCCTGCAGGCATCTTCCCGGTACTGTATATATGTATAGCAATCCTCCTCATGGCCTCTCGCCAGTTACGGTCACTACATGCCAATACGCTCCCTCCCCCTCCCCATCCAATCCATTATTATACATGACAGAGTCCTGAATGCCGCTGGAGCTGCTGTAATAGTATTTTTTATTTTTGTGATCTTTGGCCTGGTTCCTTTCATAAACTGGATATACTGCTAGCCAGCATTGATTGATTACGACAGCATGTCTTAATTATGGCAGCTGCCCCAGCCTGATGACGTGATGTATTACGACAGCGCAGATATAATTGTGGTAGCGCCCTTACAAAATGGAAGACGTTCATTTGGTCCACACATGTCGACGGTGATAAATCTTTAGAAACCGCTACACAGCAAAGTGACAGCAAAGCTTGTCCCACTTTCTCCAAACTACTATTCTCCCACAAATCCTATCCTGAAGTTGTTGAGTTGTTAGAAATCCCTGAACACGGAAGTATTTCATGGAATTATGTAATATATAATTAAATATAAAAAAATTACATTTCATTAAGCTATGAATCGGCTTAGTAGTCCAAGAAAAAATTAAAACAGGTTATTCTACGTCTAAAGTTTTGAAATACATTGCGCGGATATTTTCACCTGTGATATAGTGCAACCCAATAATTTACGAGCAATTTTGGCCAAATGTAGGACACCTTACCCTCCACTATAGAGGCCCCAGGTTTAAGGAGTTTGAGTCTAGTCACTGCGGCATCACCAATTTTCATGTCTGTTAGTTCATTTGTTTGTTGAATTTCATTCCCCAAATTTTCACACGTCAAAATTGATTTTGATCATTACAAAAAAATCCATATTGGCATGCTCAGCTCAGGCCCATTTATTGCCACAAAAAGCGACAAGCCACACTGACCAAGAAACATGTCAATCCACTTTCAATACAGTCTCATACCAATTGGGTCAAAAGTTAATGAGAGGTTAACACATTTATGCTTTGGTTTGATTACTCTGCTAAAATTAATAACTTCTTTCCTCTGCTATCCTTTGCTAATATCGATGGGTTTTCTTCTCTGTTGATATTAATGGTTTCTTTTCAATATTTGGAAAGACGACACCACAGAGCGGCAGAGGTAAAATCCAGTAGAGCTCCTGGTGGAATTCGTATTATGCATGAGAATAAAACCATTTCGTAGCGCAAACAGCCATGTAATGATGGATAACGGTTTTAAGTTATCAACCTAATTCCAGAAACATGTGCCATTTAATGAGGAGAGACAATTTCATTTCTTAATGTGGATAATGAGTCTGCATCAAGAGCTGCCCGGCGTAGACTGAGTCAGGTCAGAGAAGTCGTTCCTGAATTACTTCACCAAAGCCAGATTGGGCAGGCTAGATACGTCACACTGATGTAGCCGTCTATCCTCTTCTGGCTGCCGTGTAAATTATCTTTTACCTTCGCCAAGGAGGAATATCGTCAACACGATAACTTAAGATGGATTGTCTTGATGAGACCTACAAATGATTAGATTTTGAGCCCCTTAGCAGCTTGTTACGGTGCTGCACCCTCGGTTCTCGTGATCTGGACATGCTAGGATCGCGAAGTTTAGATGGTAGATAGTTCACTTCTTCCCAGCTCAAGAGCTAAGTTTCAAACTTCGGACATCACATATGTTGAATTGAGAACGAGAGGAACATCGACAAATTTCAATTCTCCTAGAGTCCTAGGAACAAACATTTACGTCGTATGCTCTTGACGTAGATTCAGAGAAAAACAGTTATCAAGGCATGAAAAGCCTACGCAGGTCGCTAGTAGTATAAAGACAGGAACAGGTAGTTGTTGCAAGTCAATTGCTACTTGTGAGCAACGTTACGTCCTTCTTAAAGACTTCCTCAAGCTTTAAACTTTGCCTATTGGCCAGTACAATGATGTGCTCAGTAAAGAGACCGGTGCTTCCCTTACATTCCACGTAGTTATTTATCAAAGCTAAATAAGTATCATCAGGCTGGACCTTGCACCTAGGGCTGATTACGAGTCCAGCTGCCTTCCCAATCCTTTGGTATGGAAAGGCGCAAGCGGATCGGAGCACGGGCTTTACCAGGCGGCCTGCAACATTCATCTTCCTTGACCTTGCTGACATCGGGCTTTTTCTCGTGTTTATGTATTCACCCACTTAAGGCTTACCAGTTAAGCCCTTACGCCGCACGGGAAACTGGTGGCAGATGTTACCCTGACAGATGAGCTGGTAATGCAATTCCCCATTCTTAAGGACATCTTTGATTATATATTTAAGATAATCACCAGGACGGCAACAGCAAGATAAACACAGCACCTTACTATGCTTGTAACGATAATTCTGAACTAAGTTGTAGCACAATTCAATACTTATGTACTTGTATATCTAGATGATGACAGATCTACACAGATGCTATGCCTGGTAATTGTTCGGGGGATCCGTCATGGTACGTGGCTATATCTGCCCAATTTGACCGTTCAGCCGGTAGAGGGCCTTCACAGTCCTGGCAGTGCTCGGTCTGCCCCAAAAGTGACTCTGGCGTGCAGCAGGAAGCTGCCCCCCTCCATGGCTCCTTACTGCAGCAGAGAGGGTGTGCACTGGGACGGAAACATGCTGCAAAAATTGCATCCTCGCCGCTGAAGTGTGCGTATATCGAGCGTACCGTGTCAGCTTTGAAGGCAAGGAAATTAGAGAATTAGAGATAACTACATGGAGAGAGATAAGAGCTTAGGAAACGGCTGAGTAAGAGCGCCTAATCGTTCACTCAGAAGGAATGACCAGGTAAATTAAAATACGCTATCTCGAGAACACTCTGTTGCACCTGCCTCTGGGTGCTTAAGATACTAGTATTCCCTGCCGGCTCTGAATAAAGGTTTGGTGTTTGCTAAGATAAATACGCCGTTTTCACGGAAATTAGAATGACTAAGCCTACATCTTGGTACGATGCGTCAAAGGACTTGAACAAACATCTTTCGTCTTATCTGGTTTGCCCTGTAATAGCTTTCACCAGCAAGCCAAATACCGACATGATTGCAGAGTACCGTAATGTAGCGAAGGGTGCTGCGTAATGCATTCCTCCCCTCCAGATTTGCAGGCACAGTCGATGTTTTACGGCCCCACTAAATTTTCCGCACGAACGTAAAACGAGTCCGCTGCTGCTCCACTATCATCTTACACTAATGAAAGCCAAGACGGCTCTCTGGGGGAAGCTCGCTAACTTGTTAATTCCGATGGGGTACGACAATTAAACCCAGGTGCCATTTGTTGCTGCCCCTCTGATGGCTATTATTCAATCTTTAACATTTCTAGGAAAGCCCCCACAGTCCGGGAATTAGTGTACAAATACACACCTGCAGGTCCCTGTGAAATAATGATCTCACCACGTATCATTACTGCTGAGCATTCATTATACTAAGGGTAAAATATGGGCAAAGGAAGTGTGTAGTACCTACGATAGACACCAAAGCACCGGGTGCACGTGACGATAAAATGTAGCGCACTACGGCACTCTTGGGGACACATGGCTTGCACAATGGGACATGTAGTCGAACGTAGACACACGCGGGGGCGCACTGGGATACAATTTAACGTAAGGAAACATGAAGACTCACGGCAAGATACCTGGAGAGATGGGAAGACGATACAGAACGTTCTGTACTTACGCGGCCTCGCCATGGCGACCGCCTGAAGGCACACAGTAGAAAAGAGAATGTACAGAAGCTGGCCCATGGTTGTTCTCTGCTGGCGGTTTCCACCACGGTGCCCCCGGGCTCTGCAGGCCTGTACTGTTCCGCGCGCTCTGTCGGCTAAAGCGTCTGTCTTCTCTTACAGGTGCCGTAGAACGGGAACGAGCTGCCGCGGCAGCGCTGCTGAGCTTCGTTCCCCATCACGCCTACCCCACATCGGGAGCCGGTAGTATCTACTAAAGTATAGGGTGGCCCCGCGTGGAGGTCCCACAGAGTCTGGCACGTTTTCGGTGGCGGGACAGGTTGGCCTCCCTCACCGAACCGCCAGTCCCACCTTCCCGGCTCACCCCGATCAGAGACACAGTCCCCCGTAAACGTGATCTGGAATTTACAGCATGCGATGTTAAGTACACCTAATACTTCTCCAAACGTAAGAGCAAATGAAACGCGGGTGCAGCTCTATGCCATATCCAGGTGATTGTTCAGGCGAGTCACGAAGCTTTCCCCCTTCCCGCACGCTGTCTGCACGTCCGACTGGGAACATCACCGCTTGCATATGGTATAACTGGCAGCATCGAGCAGTCTACCACAAGACAGATACCAAGTTGCCGCATGGCCTGCTTATTGGACATCGCGTCAGCGTCATTACCATACCAACAGACGCCAGGTCTGAACTGCAGCACAAACCCACGGTAGAAATCGGAGCGATGTGCAGCCGAATTATTCATCAGTTCCAGAGAATTGCCCTCCGCGGATAACTGAGCCGAGCATCAGTACATAAGCCCAATTTTAATATTGCCAATATAATTGTAAATGAACCTCACCCCTATACTTATTATTAAATAGCGGGAGAGCTGTCCTATCCCATTGCTGTGCCTGAGTGGAATAAATCCCGCATCTGTACGTAACCGCCCCGGAGGCGACGTACGTCCCGATTCACGACTGTCCTTGGTTAAGCAACGTGTCTATCACCTTGGCAAACTAACGTGCTCATCACAGAAGACGGTGTTCTCTTTCATGGCACATTGTACACAGATGACCGGATGAGCGGCTTTACGACAGGAGAAGTATTGCTTACTGGGTTTCCGCCAGATGCACAGAGCTTTCGCTATTTCCTGGAGCCACTGACTGAGCAATGATCAAGTGGTGTCTATTTTCTCAGATGAGCTGAAAAGGAACAATTTATGAGGTCAATGCAGCTTTGGCTGAATGTGTGAATGAAGGGTCGACAGCATTACAATAGTCCTATCCACGACTGACAAATCTTATCTTCTCTAAAAGAGTCAAAGGCGTGCGGGCGAAAAGTAAGAGGGGGTGAATTTTAATAAAGCATTGAGCGCTTACACTGCATGAATAATTATACATATATCTAGATTTAACTCGGCTCAGAAACTAAACCAAGGAATTTTAGAGTCGACTGTAAAGATGATCTAAAAAAAGAGGATTGCAAGCAAAAAATACTATCCACAGCTTATATCGACGATTGGTAAATTCTTCAATGTCATCAAAGAAGCATACCTGTAGACTACCTAAAACAGCATTCACTGCCGTCGCCTATCTAGTTCCTAAAGGAGGATTCATCGGTCTTCCAATTAGTGCACACCGTCCAGAAGATAAATGGGGCCCTGGCTGCTGGCAAAGCGTCTAGTTTTTCTTACATTTCTCGAGTGACTTTGACAAGGTCAGTGGCAGGGGCCTCATCCTCAAATTGCGGTAGGTTGAAGTAAAGTTCCCAATGTTCAATTGGTTCAACCGCTATCGAGAAGCTGATAACGGGAAACTTCTGACGTACCACAGGGATGTATTTCTGGGCCACTTTTGTTTTGGATCAATATATTTGTCTGATCTTATACTTGAGGCTGGCATATTTCTTAACGGGGACAACGGAGGTGATTTCACACACCTACCGCCTTCCTTAAATTTCTACACGTCTCAAAAGTTCCTATAATGGGCTTGACTGCACAGAGACGGCAGTATTTTCTAACCAAGAGGCAGTAGTTACGAATATTTTATAATGCTTGGCAATCTCATATAGCTCTTGGGTTGCACTTAACTCACGCTTTTTCAAACTCAAAGCCTGCGTGGTTTGACGTTCATATTACTGGCATATCCAGACAGGCTTTACATCATTTAATGAATATCTTTTGATGTTTTTTAGAACGAACAGGGCATTTTGCCGACGCTGCACAACGTTAACGATGCCAGGCTTGCTCTTCCGTACTTAGTACAAGGTCTCTCTAGCTTTGACACGCGCCGTACGTGATGGGGTTGTCAGATTCCTGCCGGACGGAAGCTTCCTTATTACCTCATACTGTTCTACATGTCCATCAAACGTAAAACTAATTAAAGTGTCAGAATGACTTGCGTTCGTACCCACTTCCCGGCATTAATCAGAACTAGCGAAAACGTCCAAAGTACAATGTATGAGACATTCTGCCCACATGCTCAGAAATTCCACTCTTCCTCCATTTATTAGAGAATGAAATCCTCTGCCAATCACTATTGCCAAATTTGGTTCTGTTTGGACGCTGTTCCAGGAAAAGATAGTGTCTCAGATTCGATGACCGTGCTTCAACACGTCATAGCTCCGGGACGTCTTTAACTTCAGCAGTCCCCGCGCATCTTTGTGCCACGCATAGGACCTGCAAACATTTGTCACCGCGGCTGTCTTTGTCTCCCAGTCATACTCTTCCATTAGGCAGTGTTTGCTGCCAGCATATCTCCCTGCCTACAGCAAATACAATGCGCTTTATGTATAGCTATTCCTCGGAAATTCACCATCCACTCACATAAAGCAAATAGACCTGATTTTTCAAGCACTCAGCACAATGCCGCCGTGTTGTCTAGTATTAGCATGTTACAGTTACTTGTGTTCTTAGGGTATTTATGCAACATTTTATGCGTCTTTGCTTGAAATTATTTCTCAGACCCAGAGATATTGCTTTACATATTGATGTGTGTAACCTTTATCATTTGGCTTTGCTACAATTGTGTGCATAATATACCACATTGTTTACTCTATATCACTGATAATAATATCCACATTGAGCAGAAAACAGTCGGATTGGCAGACAACAAATGATTGAAATTAACATTTGGAATCAAAGTGATGACTGAAGACACGCATTTCGTCGCTAGAGACTAGGGTCACTCCAAACAAAAATGAATTTATTGTGTCCTGTAGTTTCCTGCCATGCTGTCAAATCTAGCTATGACAAACAACCAGGTAAACCAATCTGTCATAAAATACATCGGCGTTCCATGTCCAGATGGGAATCACTACGAGAGAGTGAGGTCTGTGACCTTCCAGAAAACGGCATGATTAAGTGTTCTGCCCAAACTTCATCACAGTGATGAGAGGAGCGTGTAGAGGTATTACTGATATGCGCGCTGTGATGTTTTTTTTCCTTTTCATGTTAGGTGGAGACATTAAACTGTTGATTACCAGATTTTACATTGCAAGATGCTGTGTCAGATCTGGATTGCACCTGGTAGCAATCAACAAGCAAGAATGCTAGAAAGATAACCATGTGCTGTTGTGGTGTTTCATTACAAATGGTGAACACCAACTTAATTCCAAATGGACTTCCTATGAATATACAGTGGTTCACTTATTGTCGTCTGTGGTCTAAGACTCCTATATACTTACTTCCATATCATTATTAAAATATATATTTCTTAGACTTGCGTCGCCCAACAGTCTTCATAACTGTGGTGGCAAATGACATCCCATTGCTGCATTTCCCGGGTGTGCGTGCTGATGATGTGTTTTATGAGGATGCACACCGTAGTTTGAGATATTAGCTGACATCATTGCTTCCATCATTATAAGCCGATAACACCTCGACAACTACTCAGGATAAAGTAATGATTCGTACATAATCCGGCTATCATTTCTCTACGTAATCAGAGCTAGAGGACTTATTGGCTCTGTAAAAACATCGAGAAGGTTTGGTGATCAACCACGGCCATGGCGGAGGAGGTAGATAGAAAGATCCCCCGCTGGGATGCCCGACCCTACCGCCTTGACGCGGTGCGAGGGCCTTAATGTAAGAAGTTTCTAGTCCCGAGATAGTTGCAACACTCCAGCTCTGTAACCTCGAAGGGTCCCTGTCGGGTAAATGGAGCTCGATAGCCACCGATGTGGCCAATCCATCCAGGACAAGGAACGTCTGACATAAAACCTACTACCCGAGGACCTTAGCCATGACAGATGAACCCCGGATGTTGAGGGTGGGAATAGTACTGCGCACACCGTCTCTCACTTTAAAAAGGAAGATACATTAAGAGTCACAAAAGGGGATCATTGCTAGGGGTTTTTGTTAGAAAGCCACGCGCCCAAAAGTTTTCAGAAACAGAACGTCTTAACGAGAAATCCCGCTGCGCAGATGGATAGTGTATATGAATTATTTGCCGTGGTAATGGACAATGAAATGGTACGTATTATCGCAGTTTCTACCGTTCTCAAGCCTATAAATGAAGTGAAGCCAGACAAATTACACGGGAGACGGGAAGCCAACAGCTCTCTAGAGAGTTATGCTGTACTCAGTTCTTCGTTCTGCATGAATTTTGTTCAGATTTCATGTTAGACTTGCGGCTCCCGCAGGAAGTTTTATGCTTAACTTCTTCCCAAGGCTTCCATCTTACTGAAACATCACAAGTTACTGATACCCTGCATCCTATTTGATGCCATAAAACTAGGGGGAACTGAGGATACCAGGTACATTTGCTCCGATAAAATCTCTATTTTACGACTTCAATGTTTGCCTTACATCCATCCTTCCCCGTCTTTAAGTTATTCAAAGGCCATTTATGTTTGCCAACTTCAAGTACCCAAGGGTCTCTTTGAAGACTATTGCAAAAGCGATGGCCTGCTATGTAGAATAATCACCGTTGCCAACAGAGAATATCATACATCACGCGAAACGGTCAGATGCAGACCGTGGTCAACACTCATAGTCTGATGTTGGGTGAAGATAATGAGGTGCGTACTGTGGGTCAGAGCCCATGTCACAATAGACAGGATCTACTCATCGGTTGACCTGGCGAAAGATCTGTAGTTCAACCCGTAACCTCAGTGGGAGGACGGAATGCCAACAGGCGCCAAAACCTCACGAAGTTGAAGCACAGCGCAGACAATGTTGGCGTCGTCGTGTCCGAATAAATACATCAGTAGCGCACCAGTAGAGACGATGACATATCTTGAAATCCCTCATGTTTACATCAAGATCAAAAGAGCACATTTGGAAAGATAGATCATGTTTTTACACGCATCTACAAGTACTTGTACAATCGCCATTTACCTATACCTATGTTTGAATGGGTTTATCTTCTGGTCGGAAACATGCATAAGAGGCTTGTTTTCAAAAAGACGTTGTCTCATTGCTCTCATTTCCCTACCAAATCATAGGACGATAACATTTTGTTCTAGGCAACCCGAATCTGTGGCACTAGCAGCTACAGGACACTGGGCTACATTGTACAGGTTTGATGTGTTGCTGCATGCCTCTTTGGGAATGGAAAAGAAACCTAGGAACAATGATGGAAATGAGATGAAGCTACCATAGTGCCAGGTTGGGGATAAGCAGAGGCATGTTTCA